GTCTTGGGAGAGCCGGGCTAGCGGGGCTCTCCCCGGCAGGAGCGTGGGGTGGTGCTTAGCCCCGAGCACCCGGTGGCACCTTTTCCCCTTCCCTTTTCCCCTGGCGCTTTCCCCTCCTGGCTCCGCTGTGAGGCTTTTAGCGCGCGGAGTGACCGCGTCGGGAGCCGCCGCTCCTTCAGCTTGCGCGCTGCGGGCACGTTTTCCCTTCAGCCGTGAAGGACGGACGCCTCTGGGGCTGCAAAAGTTACGAGGCGCAAGTATCACTCGATTTTGTGGATGAGCCCTTGTCCCCACTCGTTGAACTCCGGGGAGAAGGTTTGTGGCAGGGGGCGGCCTCCTTGAGAAGGGCCTGTGCTGTTCAGCTGTGCCTCCTGCCCGGGGCTTGCTGGAAGGAGCTCCCGCGTGCGCTTCTGCTGTCGCAGTAGGTGCTGCGTGCCTGGTTTGCACTCAAAAGACCTTTTTCTAGATGCTTTCTGCTTGTTGGTAACCCCCTGCTATGGAGATCTTGCCAAAGAGTACTTGGTGCCTTACGGTGGTTTACATCTTTGAGTTCCCAAAGACCCAAACAAGTAGCTAATGAGGATGTAAAACCTTGCACGACAAGCAATGCAAAGTGATGCAGAAGAAATGCTTTGGGTGCAATTCAGGTTGAGGGAATAGATTTAATTTTTCATTTCCACCCATGCTCAGACATGATTTTTTTTTTAATTAGGAAAATGGAAACCAACTTTTTGACATAACCGGTTTAATGACTCTGTAGCCAGGGCTGTTCCTTTAAAGATGCATGTCTAACTTTAATGGGTAGTCCTGCGGACTGCAGTGGTCTGTTTCATCTGCGGAGGTGTGCTAACAGGTGGAAGCCCTTGCTTTTGAGGACATGTTTCTTGGGCAGTTTCCATTTATGACAGATTTTGTTATGTAATGCTACATAGTTTTCTAAAGAAAAAAACAAGTGGAAAAATGTAGGGTTTTTTGTGCATGAATGCATAATTGAGAAAATGTTTGAACGACTTAAACTAGCTGTCTGAGATCTATAGACTTGACAGCACCATTTTGCTGTTCTGATGGCTTTTTGTCTCATTTCTGTACATTGTTTTATAGGCAAGTGCATGTTCACACTAACTTTGATTTTAAAATTATTTCTTTTTGAAGAAAGGTAGTACCAAATTTTGTATTTCAGGGATAGGATAAATCTCAAAAGCAGATTCTAGTGGAGACATAGTCACTCACAACACCTTTATGGCCTTCAAAAACATGTTGCCTGCTTGAAGAGGAGAAAGCTAATAAACACCAAGATGCTAAAAACCTGTTACAATGGGCCCAAACGGGGAAGTGATGTTTTTACTCTTACATGTTGGGAGAAATTACTGTTAGCACTGCTGCCTCCCCCTAGAGCTTTTTAACTACCATGTGGATCAGTCTGTTGCTGAATTGTTAAGTGGGGAAAAAAAAAGAGTAGATACTTGCTGGCTTATTTCTCAGATGTGCTTGTCTGATAAAGCTATTTACTCTGAGAGCTATTACATTTATATATAATAATTGAGAAAAACAATGATGCTGTAGTTACTTGCCACGCTACAAAGATGACCGAGCTGTGGAACTACCTATTTCAGATCCTCGTAATGCTGCTTTGTTGCCTGCTTTCAAGTTGCTATGCACCCATTACAGCCTATTTTAATTGAGTTGATCTTGAAAACAGTTGCATCTGTGTCTGCTTTTCATGCAGTCAAAAGATAGCTTTGGAAAGAGCCTTGTCATCCTGCCCAAGACCAGGATTGCTCTTGGCATGTGTTTTTCTGATCTTGGAGACATCCAGAAAATCATCATACTGGAAAAGCCAAAGCACTTCTGTACAGCCACGTTGTTATCGGCAGGAAGCATACATCTCTGTGTGCACCTTAATCCAACTGGAAGAACTGACAGTCTTGGAGCCTGCAGACTGAGGCTGTTTGCTTTCACAGTCCAGGGTTTCAAAGATCAGAGTTTAGGGGTTTAAATGGGAATGGGAATAGTGCAACTGTAATGAGAATAGGTTAATACGGCTTCTTTGGATGTCTTGTAATCAGTCCTAAAAGTAATAACCAGCGGTATTTTTTTAACCGGTGCACATTTTATGTACTTTTGGTGGTCAAGGCTATGTACAGTGCTCTAAGTATTTCCACCTTCATCCCCTGTGTGTAAGTCAGGGCAGAATCAAAACATAGTCAGTCCTCAGAATAAACAGAGGATATTGAAGATTACTTTGTGGCAGTAGTTAGGTTTTTATTAGCAAGAAACTGGCAATGTGAAGTTTTCCACTTATGTGTAGTATATGGAACCCGAGAGAACAGAAAACAGAACTAAACGTTAAGAAACCATTTTGAAATGGGTATCCTATTCCTGTGAAGGGCCGTGAATCACCTAAGCAAATACGTGTGTCTCAAGGGGGAAATGAGATTGGCTGTGAGAGCTGCTGTCTCTGCTTTGAAAAGGTGCCAGACAGCAAGAAGCACTGTTATTCTTGGAATTCCCCAAGAAAAATTATGACGCTTAATTCCATCCAAAACAGGCTAGAAGGTAACCTGTGAAATCTGGACTAAAATGCTTGTAACATTTTTGTGGAATCTTCTA